CCTTTTAATAAAGCATCATTAGCTTGTTAGCATTTTTCATCCAAGGGTTTATTTAAATTTAATCATACTGTATTCCCATAACTGTCTTTTATCCAGTTATTAAGATGCCAATCTACTGAGAATGTTTCAGAAATAATAGGAGAAATGAAAAAAACAAAACACAAAACAATTTTTAACAATCAGCACATTTAGAAAAAATGTATTCAGTTTAAATAGGGAGAAATGAATGGTGTGATCTGCAGGTGGAAAATGTGTCAGCAGCCTCAACTTTAAGGCTGCTTTTTATTTGTTCTTACTTGATGTCAAAGATAATGTCTTRACACATGTCTSTGTGTTTGTCTGTCCTGTTAGSAAAATATCTCACCACTGCACAGATTTTAATGGAACTCTTAAGTATTTGTTTTTTGTTTGACTGGTTTATTTCAAATGTTTACTATGTACAGATGATTATTTTAGGCAAAAAAAAAAACAGAGAAAGAAAAGAGAGAGGAAAATACATGGAAAATTAAAATTAAGTGCACAATTACTACTACATTTTTTGCAGTGGTGGACAGCGCTAACCCAAAACTTTGCTCTGCAATTTCAAAAATGCTTATGCCATAAAAAAACTAGCAGAAGCTAATTTTTAAATACAAGTTAAATTTGACACTAACTGTCTAGCAACAATTCATGCACAATATGTACAACACTACCTACTAGTGGTGTATGAATCCTTGTACAGCTTAATCCTACGAGTGCCGATTGCTGGGGATGTGATTTCTTGAAACGGAACTTTGGCTCCTGGTGTAAAAATTAAAAAGTTGTTGAGGATTGTTAGTTCGGCTGATTCTTTGTCTTTTTCTTTTGTTTGTTGTAGATTTTTCATTAAAGAAGCATCAATAAACAATTTTAAAACTGTTTATTTGGAATACTGAAGCGAAGCATTCTGGGTACATGATGGATTTGATTTGTGACGGGAAACAAAAGTTTTCCATGTAGTTGCTCCAGTTGACCACTGGTCTGTCTAGCCCCGTTGGCGGATTCCTTCGACCAATTATGTCAAGTATTGAGCTCCAGCGTTTAAACTTTATTTATTTATTTATTTTTTGAAAAGGAACTCCGATTGTAAGGTAAAATAAATCCATACAAAATTTTAGTATGGATTACAAACGTTTACTGTTTTTGCTGGGAAAGAGAGTACTAAACATTGTCTTCCTGCTATGTAAGCAGACACAAAGCATTGTGGGAAATGAGAACCGTGACCGAGAGCAACAATCAGCAAGGATGTATAGGTTTCCAACAAGTGTGTTTATCTAAGAGGGGTGCTTTGGATAGATCACATGTGTTGTGATTCATGCAGCCGTACATTCCACTGTTCAAGATATTGATGACTGGTAGGTAATTAGTTTTGAATGGTACTGCATTTTAATTTTAGAAAGCGCAAATCTTCTTATGGATTTTAAAAATTAGTAAGACCGCTGAAGCGCAAGTGAAATATTTAGGTCCACAATTAGCGGATTTGCACCTTAGTGGACTGGTGCCCACCACTGGTTTTTCTGTACAGCTCACATGTCAAAAAAGGTGGGATCAAGTACATATATTAAATTTTACACCTTTTACTGCAAATTTTACTGATCCAATTCCTTATTAACACAACCATGGGACTAAAAGATTGACAAATTTCAAATACTATTTCTTAATTCAGGCTATTGTCTTCATTTTACACATCTCTATGATTCACGAAAATAATTTATATATATTAAACAGTTTTTTTATTCGGGCATTGCTTCAACTCAAATTACATTGGATCTGCATCTACAATACGCCACCTATCCTGCAACAGAGTCAGCAGTCCACACTTTGCTTAAATGATTTGTTGCTGACAAGTCTGGTAAATAGCTCCAGGTTTTTCCTTTAGGCAGATAAGAGCTGAGATTTTCAGGTCACTATAAAATAATTCTTCAGTCTTCCCCCTCCCATTTTTTTCTTCCGCCGTTATGGGCAGAGGCTGAAAGAAACCCAATTAACCCAAGTTAGAGACAGCGCAACTCGTTCCTCCAAACCCTCCTGAAACACTCGGGAGATCACTCTACTATTAAAGGGAGTACACTCAGATGCACCACACTTTTCTAATTGAAACCTTTGGGACTGCCTTTTGAGCTCCGGAAAAAGCGTATAAATGTTGGGGAAGAGACAAAGGGCTCAAAGGATCAGGAGCCTGAGTGGAGAAAACAACAAGAGCAGGAAAAAAAGTGTCAGACGGCTTCACATTCGCACCTGACTAACAACATGTCTCTGAAATTCCTTGAATCCTCTGTCCAAGTTAGGATTAACGTTGGAGCTCAATCAACAAATTTAAAAGTCCTGAAAACATAATTTACACCCTGGTCACTTTTTTTTCCTTTTTCTGTGATGAATCAATTCAGACACTTCAAACTCACTTAAGCTGCTCACAACCTCATTCTAGCACACAGCATCAAGGGATGAAGTAAAAGAACATTTGTCAAATTAAGTGAAACCTGCGCCATTGATTTCTTCCAACCAAGGTAAATGAAAGAGAATTAATTAAAGAGGATTAAGGGATAAATGAGAACTTGGCAGAAACATGTCCGAGGGAGCAATTAATGACCCACACTGCAAATGAGAGCCTCGGCTATGATACCATGCTCGCTTTGCCAACACGAAGCAACATCTAGCAACCACCGTCATCCATTTCCTGAGCTACAAATGCTAATAATTAGTAGAACTATCTATCTTTCGATTTGTCTACCCACCTATCTA